GGCCAAGCACCCCCAGAACAGAGCTTCCAGCCAGCTTTCAGGCTCAAATGTCCTAAGAATTGCTGAATTACTGAACTCATTGCTTATATTCACTGTTGTGATGCTGTATACAGCCCAGTGCAGCGTGTGGAAGTAAAGATCACTGACTCTTTTCCATACAGTCTGTTCATCAGTGGTGGTGCTAAACACTGTGGGACGTGCAGCAGAAGTGCTGCAGCTGATCTTGACCGAGGGATTGCTTTAAACATCAGTATTCCCAGCTGTAACTTCCGTGAGACCTCAGAGCCGTTACCCCAGTCATGCTCATGCCTCATTTTTGAGGAAACTGGTATACTGGATAATTCAGAGAAGGTGGAAAGCTGTGTGATTCGGCATGTCCCTGGACAAGCTGGTCTCTTCATAGGTGGTTTGCTGGCACAAACTGGATTTAATTTTATGAGATTATTTCAAGAATGCCAAATCCAGACTTTTTTGTGCTCAAGCCACTGAGCCGCTAGAGCTTGTATAATCTGGTTTGGTCTCTTTGAATGGTGGTTGTACCACTGCTCAAGACCTCTCCTCTGTAGCACTGATTTCTCCCTTGGACTAAGCAAGGAAATTGAGTTTCCTCAATTCAGCTGAGTCTTTAAGTCCCATGAGTCCCCCTTAAATCCCATGCTTGCCTGCATCCCGCAGGGCAGGCTTGGAGGCCCTGTTACCAGGCTGCAAATTTCTCTTGTGGTGGCTTTAGCAAGAGCCCATATGAGCCTGAGAGACATCACAGCAGCTTCTGATGCAGATGAAAGGGCTCTCAGAGTCATCCTGGAGCTGAAACCTGAACTAGGCTCCATGGCCTTGTCTGGAGGAGCTCCAAGGGAGGCTGCTGCACATCCACACAGGGATGTTCTATGCAAGGCCTTTTCCAAGCAGGACAAAGCATCACTTTGGCTGCTCCGGGCAGTGTCACGTGATCCTTGAGCTCATTCTGCGCTGAACAAATGTAAGAGATTTTCTTCTCTAGTGCATGAACTGCCCCCTTTGCTCCAAAACTCTGCTGGGACTGCAGAGGAAAGCTGTCAAGGAACTGGGCACATTAGGAGTGCACGCATTAAATGCCACCCGCATCCTGTTCCTCAGCATATTGACGGGACCCACCCCTGAGACTGCCAGCGTGGCAGAAGCAGTAACATGTTGAAAATTACTGAAATATCCTCCATCAACAGGTTTGTTTCACTGTGCCTTCCCAGTGGCATAGCAGGCCCCCAGGCTCCTACAGCCACCAGGATGGAGCTGCTGCCCTGCCGCTCTCTGCCCATCCCTGGGGACATATCCCACCCCACAAGCATCTCCAAGGAGAGCCTGGGAAAAGTGCCAGGCTGAGGAGGACCTGCCTAAAACCAGCTTGTAGGAGACTCCGGTCCTCACTGGAGTCCCGCAGGGCAGGACAGGGGGGTGTTGAGGAGCAGGGGTGCCCCTCTCCCACCATGGCCAACAGCCGGGTGCTGAGATGTACGCATGAGTACCCATGGTAGGTGTGCAGAAGATGTTCCTTGTGTCTCTGTGTAATGCCTTCCACAGAAAGGGTCGGGCTCTTTTCTTCTCCCCACCTCCCTGACGCTGAACTTGCCAAGAGCAGCAGGTAGGTACGACAGAAATTAAACACGGCTATTAATTTACATGAGGTGGAAGCAAGAGGAGAATGGGGGGGATAAGGAACTGGTGACAAGTGTTCACCAGGCAAGTCCCTGACTCAGCTGGTCTCACCTTACAGAGATCCCCAATTGCACCATGGAACCGGAGCTGCAGTCATGGTTGGGGCGACCTGACACTCCAGCCCTTGGGAATGGCCTGAAAAGGGGAAAACTGCACTGGGGTCTTGCCACGGGTGGTTGGGAGGCAGGGAGAAGGAATTTGGTTTTTAATCCAACTATAGTAGGTTATGAAGGACCTACTAGAGGTGGAAGAAAGCCAAATTCCTTCTTTTTTCACCCAACCTATACAAAGCTTTCGGGCACAAACAAACCTCTATTTAATGTATGTTTTGCCAATTTCTGAAATAGAAATGCCCCTTTTTTTTTTTTTTCTCCTCCCAGAAAAAAAAAAAATGAACTGAATTCAGCAGCAAAACTCCCCTTCTGGGGTGGTGTGTTTTCCTCCTGCTCCCCCACTGCAGCCGTCTTGCAGACCGTGGCGGCACCTCTCACTGTGCTTGCCGTTGCCGGTGACTTTGGGATGAGCCACATATTTGCAGACTGGCTCTAACCACCAACTGGCTGGGGCTCAGCCCAAGTTAAATGGGCTTAGAGGGGTACAGACCACGGTGACCCTCAGCCCACCATCCAGGGGCTGAGGCTTTGCCCTGGTCTCGTCCCACTCACCGTGGCTGAGGAGAGGCAGATGCTCCGGGAACTGCAGAGAGGGATGATGTTATGTTTGTTTATTGATTTATTTTATACAAGAATAAATTAGTTTCCCTTGCATCCTTCTGAGATTAAGTGATTTAATTAATGCTGAAACTCTATGCACACAGGACGGTGGTTAGCACGGGCTACGTCTATAGAATTATTTCAGAGAAAGGAAGATGTCAGCATGACAAAAATAGAAAGGGTTAGTGTGCCACATGCTGCCGGGAATTGGGGCTGCCACCCTCTTCTAAACCTGGATCAGACTTTTAATGAAATTTAACTACTTCACCCCACCCTTTTCTTTTGACACTTAAAACTAATTCAGTGGGATACCGCCCCTCCGCTGAGGGCCAGCGAGTGCCGCCGCCACCGGAGGCTGCTGGGGCTGGGGAGGCGGGCAGGCTTTCCTTCACTGACTTGCCAGCGCATATCAACTACAGAAAGCAAAGTGGCAGCAAAACTTCAGTCATAACACCACAGAAGCTGGGGAAAAAACCCCAGGTGTAAGTAGGTTTGTGATAGTGCCCTCTGCAGTGGGGGCAGCGAGGCAGCCGAGCCCCCAGACCCAGGGTGCCTGCACTCCCACTGCAGCCTGGCTGCTTTCAGGTCCGCAAATGCAAAGACCACTTGCGAAATTAGAGGAAAGGCCCACAATGAACTTCCATAAGAACCAGCAAAGCTCTGGCCAGCCAGCAGGTGTGGAAATAGCACAGAGGCGAGGGGGGCGAGGAAGGAAAGTACCCCTTCAAGTGGTGACCAAGTTGCTCTCCACCTTACGGACCAGGCACTGCTCTTTCATGTCTGGTATGATTGAATTCACACTTTCCTTTCCTGTAGGACAGGATTTCTCATCACACAACCCAACCCTGCTACAGCAACACTTCAGACAGACCTTTACCTATGGGTAAATACCAATCTGCTACTTCAACAACATCCTCTCCAGGGAAAAATCCTGAACCCCCAAGGTGACCGCGACACCTTCTGTGGTCTCCCCACAGGCACAGCTGTCACCCTGCATGGCAGAACCTGACAATTTTCAGCCATGAAGGCTCACACAAAGCAGCTGCTGCAGTGGAGGAGGCGCTGTCCCCACCTGGGTCCCTGCGCTGCTGCCCCTGCCCAGGCCAGCTCCTGCCGGCTGTCGGTGGTGGGTGCCAGCCTGCCCCTTCCTACAGCCTGACCAGAGCAGCTGCATTTTGAACAAAGCTGCAATCAGCAATGAGAAAGAGCCCAAACCTTTCCCTATATCAAAATCACCGTGGTTCAGGTTTCTGTTTTTAAATGTGGCTGCTGAAGTACAAGGCTCTCTGTCCTGTGCAATTCCCCTCTGCAGGACATCCACCAGAGAACTTCAGCACTGACAACTGAAGCCAAAAAGCATCATAGGCAGATATCAGCAAAGGCAGAACAACAGTAAATAAAATCCTCGGGAATATTTTGCAGTTGTACTGAAGATGTAACTGCATGAAAGGCTCTTATTACCTTTTACTGTTAGAAACCTGAAGCAAATAGCTCTTGGAGAAGGCTGCTTCAAGCTGCAGTTATTGCAGAAATACTTTAAAATTCTGGCTAGAGATAAAATCCATGGAGGCCACCGTGCCTTTGTTCCCCTGAGCACCAGAAACCTCTCTACCCCCCACATGGGTCACACGGGGAGACAGGCTACAGAAGTAATTTTAAAAGCATCTGAGGGCTGAGCAAGCCAATCCCCAGGTGCTGGTGCTGGTCTAGATGTGCAAAGCAGCCCCTGAAATTCCACAGCTCTAGATTTTATTCCTGGAATTTAGTCCTGGATTTCAGTCTTGGATGTCAGGACCTTCTCAGGGTCCTGAACCCAAACCTTGCCCTCCAAGAGCTGAGCCAGGATCTCGCTTCCACTGGTGGTGCCCATGTAACCCACCGCCTGTTAGAGGCAGGGGAGGCT